CTCTCTCTCTCTCTCTCCTCTCTCCTCTCCTCTCTCTCTCCTCTCTTCTGTCTCTCTCTCTCTCTTTCACACAAACACACTCTCATACGGAATCCTCAGAAACTACAAACTTTAATTAATTTCTAAACTTGCATTTCCTCCTCCCGCGTTCCTCACTGGATAATGTGAGCAAAAAAATCTAATTGAAATGCGATTTTATAAATATATATTTTGATAGGTTGTTTTGAATGTGGTATTGGTGCAGATATCCTAAAATCTAAAGGGAAGAGCTGCAAGTATGTGTGTGTATGTGTGTGTGTGTTTGCTTGTGTGTGTGCTTGTGCTTCTGTGTGTATGTATGTGTGTGCGTGCGTGTTTGTGTCTGTTTGATTGTGTGTGAATTATAACCATCTATCTGTGTGAATTATAACCATCTATCTGTGTGAATTATAACCATCTATCTGTGTGAATTATAACCATCTATCTGTGTGAATTATAACCATCTATCTGTGTGAATTATAACTATCCCCGTCTGTCCTCCTCAGGGTTGGCAGGAGCGAAGTACGAGCCCACCTGGGACTCTCTGGACTCGCGCCCGCTGCCCGCCTGGTACGACGCGGCCAAGGTGGGCATCTTCATCCACTGGGGCGTCTTCTCCGTGCCCTCCTTCGGCTCCGAGTGGTTCTGGAAATACTGGCATGGTAAGTCAAAGATGTCCTTTAAGCGATGTAACACTTCCTCGAATTTCAAAGGCACTCTGATATCAAACTTCGCTTATTGTTTTTAAAAACCTTCAGATGGCAAAGGGAAGTACGTAGAGTTCATGGAGAGGAACTACCGGCCGGGGTTCACGTACGCGGACTTCGCCCCGGAGTTCACGGCCGAGTTCTTCGATCCCGAGGAGTGGGCGAGCGTGTTCAACGCCTCGGGCGCTCGCTACGTCGTCCTCACCAGCAAGCACCACGAGGGCTTCACCCTGTGGCCCTCGCGCTACTCCTGGAACTGGAACAGCCTCGACGTCGGGCCCAAGAGGGACCTCGTAGGTTGGTCGATTGCCAGTCACTGTCGGAGAGGATGGAAAATCTCCTGTTTGAACTAGAATATTTTCAAAAGCTTATACATCCCAGGTGCATTTACTTTAAAGAAGGGTTGGAATGGTAAGGGCGTAGATTGGTTAAATTTATCATTATTTATGACAGTAGTGAATTCCGGACGCCCATCACCGTAAAGCTAGGACGGTGAGAGACCACCTCCCCGAACCCCGCGGCAGTCAGTTCTCGTCTCTTGACCTCGTCCCTCCTCAGGTGACCTCGCCCAAGCCATCAGGACCAAGACGCCGGACATCCACTTCGGCCTGTACCACTCCAAGTACGAGTGGTTCAACGCCATGTACCTCGAGGACAAGGCGAGGGCTTCGAGACGCAGGACTTCGTCAAGGCGAAGACCCTCCCCGAACTCTACGAGCTGGTGAGTCATTCCTGTTAAAGCCGATAGTTGTAAGCCATAATTACTTGATAAGATTCTCGTTGATATGCTCTTGATAATGAGCCTTTCCTACCTAATGATTAATGAATACCACGTGTAAAATGTTCCCTCGCATATTAATGCAATTAATGTATGATAATTTCGAGTCTTCGAATCAGTAATGATACAGTTATATCGACCGTTGCCATTTCCATCTTTCGAACCTAAGCATATGATCTCTTCGACCAAACTTATTCGAAAGCCTTTGAAATTATATAGAGAAAAATATGCCATATGTTGTACTGAACAATCTACCTCTTCCATGTACATTTCTACTAGGAATAATACCAACATGCCGTCCATCTTTATAGAATACAAAACCGACATAGAGCCTCCAAGTAATTTTGTTAATAAGACCTGATATTAATCAAGGTCCATAAAAAATCAAACAAATCTTGAGAGTACATGCAACATCAAATTGAATCTCTTACAACATTAACAGAGCATATCAAGCCCGTGTGTGTGTGAAGTTTCGTTATTTGTTATATGAAATTGAAAGATGTTTATAATTCATTAATTCATGCTAATGAATGAAATATATTTCTCTCCGTGTGAATCAAATAGATATATACAGAAATATACTTTTCACCATTTCAAATTACGAAGCATACAACACCAACTCGCTCCCAGTCGAATCTAACCAATAATAAGCGAACCAAGACCTTTTGATCCCTTGTCTTACAGGTGAACACCTACGAGCCTGAAATCGTGTGGTCTGACGGCGACTGGGAAGCCCCCGACTCGTACTGGGACTCGACTCACTTCCTGGCCTGGCTCTTCAACGAGTCTCCGGTGAAGGACAACGTGGTGGTGAACGACAGTGGGCAAAAGGTGTCGTGTGCAACCATGGTTCTACTATACCTGCAGCGACCGTATAATCCAAGGTATTTTCGGGTCCGTTTGTGTAAAAAGTTTCGTTATTTTGTTATATGTAATTAAATCTATGTTTATAAATGTTTTTTTTTATGCGAATTAATGAAATATATTTCTCTTCGTGTGAACCAATTAGAAATATAGTTACATAATTTTCTATGAAATATTTTACAAACTCTTACGTGCTTGCTGAAATGAGCCATTCGCGGCAGGCACGCTTCAGCACCACAAGTGGGAGAACTGCCTGACGCTGGACAAGGTTCCTGGGGTTTCCGCCGAGAAGCCCCCCTTCGAGACTACCTCACCATCACAGGAACTCCTCGCCACCTTGGCAGAAACCATCAGCTGTGGAGGTAGAGCTCAGGAGAGTGTTCTGCGTGGTTGCCATTTTTAAATTAATCACGTACACACTTAAAGCTTTGCATTAGGAAGCGTTTGTCTCTTTGATTTTGCTAGAATTTTAGTCTTGTTTTTAAAAAAACATTGGTTAATACACGTTATTGAAATCAATGGCGTTATTTTGAATCTTGTAAATTAAGAATATCCAAGAATAGGATGAATAAATGCGTTTCTCATATAGATATTATAGAATAACTAAACAGAGTAAGCCATTTTCTTCTCTCACAAACTTGGCGATTCGTACACTACGAGCGTATTTCGTCTTATTATCACACATTTTTGGGAACAGCTACAACCCATATACACTAGAAAAAATAACCTCAATAAATTTAGAATTATGGAGCCACCGCGTCCCCCTTTCAAAGGCAATTTGCTCGTCAACATCGGCCCCACGCACGACGGCCACCTTCCCGCCATCATGGAGGAGCGACTTCGGCAACTCGGCTCGTGGCTCGACGTCAATGGCCAGGCTGTGTACGAGTCTACTCCGTGGACGCACCAAAGCGACGCCGTGACGCCGGGAGTGTGGTAAGCTATGGCGAAGTCTATACAAGTACAGGTCTCGTCACTTCGGAGTTCTGTATAAAGGTCTGTATAAGTACAATCGCTGATAATCATCACCTGTAAAATTTGTCCAATATGCAAATCGTTCAACGTGCCGGCACCTAAAATTGCTTAAGTATTTGCTCATTTGTTACCGTTTTCTATTATCTCCTTCTCACCCAGTCTACTCCTATTGACGACATAGGCCTTATCACCCAAAGCTGCGCAGAACTAAAGGTGACGAGACCTGTACTTATATAAACCTTATTCTGCACAGCTTTGGGTGATACGGCCTATGACGTCACGTAGCGTGGTGAGAGTGGGGGAGGGGGGGATAGAGAATGACAGGGTGGGAAGGAGATCATAGAAAACGGTAGCAAATGAACAACTAAGTAATTTTCGACCTTGAGCTATGGTGCATGGTCGCGACAGTGGAAGACTGATGCTGCCCTTTGTGTTTACGCGTGTGTGTGTCCAGACATCTTAGAATAGATAAAATAAAATGATGATAATAATAATAATTTCAATATCAAATTCTTCAAAACATAAATAAGAAGACTGCTTCCTTCCCCCAAAAGGTACACAGCAAAAGGCGACGATGTCTACGCCTTTGTGCTGCGGTGGCCTGAGGACGGGGCGGTCACACTGGGCTCCGTCCTGCCGACCTCGCGCACCAAGGCCTACATGCTGGGACACGTCGAGAAGGTGAAGCCGCTGCAGGTGAGCTCTGCTGGGTATTTTAGGGAAGCTCTCTTTATAACTATAATGTGGTGACGAATGGCACTGTATAGATTAATTTTCTCTCTCTCTCTCTCTCTCTCTCTCTCTCT